CCCCTGTTTGTCATTGCCATGTTGTCTACACGTGCACTGTCCGACAAAGATAGCGATCGAAATTTAATCCTATAATCTGAGGGGACCAAGAATATCTAAAGGGGCATTCTTAATGATCTATTTGTTCCTTGCCGGCGGGAAATACAATATACTGCAGGCTTTACTGTCAGCGATGCACTTGGTGAGTCACGCTCGGCGCATTTATCCACTCGCTTGCGGTTGCAGAAAACATAAAAAGCCGGAGAGCTTTGCGCTCTCTTTTAAAAGCTTTGCTCAAGGACCCCCCCATCCCCCCGCCACCCGCTAGTGAATGGTTCCTCCGGGAGACAAGCGAATGGACAGATTTAACCGCGTGTTTCCTTCTTATTGTCCGACGTGGGGCGAGTGTTTGCCGGTCGGCGGTGCTGAAGCTCATATTTTCCTCAGCGGGCCGCTCGCTGGACATTAACTTCCTCCGATAACTCAATAGCATTCTTTTGAAATCTCAATGAGATGCGATCGAAGAGTTTACAGCAAAACCTTCACTTAAAATAACTCAAGTGGCACGAGTAGAGCGTCTGCCTGTTTGAAAAACATCATTGTGGCATATTTGCAACTACTGTGTGATATCACCACCATCCATCCGTTTTATTTTTTATTATTATTGTTTTTTTTAATACATCGTTACCTTGGGCGAGAAGCAGAGTGCACTCATATACACACCTACGGACAGTTTAGTCTTCAAAAGACCCTCTTGGCGTTTTGGGATGAAGTAGTAGCAAACAAATTAGTTGAAAACAAATGCTGAGCACAAAGATCACACGTAAAAATAACCACAAAGGTAAGAGTGTCACACCCATGGGGAATTTTAATTTTTCATCACGCACACTTCCCCCCCAGGGCTTTGCACTTAACGGGAATGTATTAGAGTGAATTAACAAGCGCAAACATTTTTTTTCTGCTGTGTTTGCACGATGGCTCTTCCAAAGGTTTCTCATATGTGTGTTTCAACACGCAGAATTTTCACTTTTCCCACTGAAAGGGGTTAACACTCAAACGAGACTTGCGATTATTACATGATGACTTCGGTGCCCACTTCCAAATAGGAACAAGTCCTAAGCCCCCGGGGACTAAACTGGGTGAATTTTTAAAAACTCCAATAACTCCTTAACGGTTTTCCTAATGGCCTTGGAGAAATGACTCAATTGAACATTATTTAACACCTTCGACCTCTCTGATGTTGTTTGGAACCCTCACTGCAACCGTTACACTAGAGTTTGGTTATTCTTGCTTTGATTGGTTATGCCTGGAGACTGAAGGATGGGATGACCAAAAAAAAAAAGTAGCGATAAGAAGGCAACGGATCGATAAGTAAAAAAGTAGTCATAGCGATAAAAACTTATCATCCCGAACCAAGACAGACTTGCTCGAAAAATCGTGCAGCCTCTATTTGTTTGCAATACTCTGCCTGTAATTCATCTTTTTATTGCTGCAAGCCGGGGGTGTCAAACTCATTTTTGTCACGGGCCACTTTGGAGTGACGTCTTCTCTCGGAGGGCCGTTAAGACAGTGAAGCTGAATAAATGTTTCATCATCACATCACATAATTACCCTAACCCTAACACACACACACACAAAAAAAAAAGATGGCTCACTAGTTTTGAAATTAGTGAAGTATTTGTTCATTGCAAAATGTCACCGTTATTTATTACGTAGGGCAGTTTGAGATTTTGGTCCAAGGATCATGGAAGTTGACAGAGATGATTTGCTTTTTCGGGCCACATAAATTGATGGGGCGGGCCGGATCTGGCCCCCGGGCCTTGACTTTGACACCTGTACTGTAAGCGTTAAGAGACCACATTTTTATAATGAATGGGCTGTTTCATCACTGATGTCGGGCTCAAAAGTTCATATTGGTTGGGCCCTACGCTTTCATTTTTGCATTTCCCTTCGACTTTGACATCAATATTGACAAAAAAAAAAGCTGATCGATATTATTTCCCCTTGCAGAATATCTGAGGAATATCCCCCGCAAAACTCCGCAGCGATTCTCCCCTGAAGCTGGACTTCACCCCGCCACTCCGACCTTCTTTCGCCCCAGCGGAGAAGGCGGGCGTGAGGGCAGCCCCGGCCATCATGAACGTCACTTCGCTCTTCTCCTTCACCAGCCCGGCCGTCAAGCGCCTGCTGGGCTGGAAGCAGGGCGACGAGGAGGAGAAGTGGGCCGAGAAGGCGGTGGACGCCCTAGTGAAGAAACTGAAGAAGAAGAAGGGCGCCATGGAGGAACTGGAGCGCGCGCTGAGCTGCCCCGGCCAGCCCAGCAGCTGCGTCACCATCCCCCGCTCCCTGGACGGACGGCTGCAGGTGTCCCACAGGAAAGGCCTGCCTCACGTCATCTATTGTCGCGTGTGGCGCTGGCCCGACCTGCAGTCCCACCACGAGCTCAAGGCGCTGGAGTGCTGCGAGTATCCCTTCGGCTCCAAGCAGAAGGACGTGTGCATCAATCCCTACCATTACAAACGTGTCGACAGCCCAGGTCAGTGTGGCCTTTCGTGGCTTTCTCCAAAACGACCTTTTTTTCATCACAAGTGACGTGCATATAGCAGGCTAGCTGCAGGTGGCTAGCGCGTGGAGACTAAAATGCACCAAAGCAGTCACAAAAGATCCGCATCAGGGATGCACGGATGATCCTTTTTTTCCCGACCAACAGTCCGGTTTACATCTGATACCCCTGATATCGTTTACTAATAAAATTGATAATGCCATGATGTAGAGCTGACCAATAATTAAATATCAATAGACTTATTTCGCGATAGACACCTGATCAATATCATTAGAACTTCAAGTCAAGTCAGCTTTATTGTCAAATGTGCTACATGTGCAACATACAGCACAGATGAAATTGCATTCCTCTCAACCACAGGAGAGAGAGGAGCCGCTGTGGGTGCCCGCGCCGCCATCAAAAGAACAGTTAATGTAAAATGGCAAACATAAAAACAAAAAGTTGCACTCAATATAATATTGATTAAAAAAAATAATAGGAAGCAAACTCCAACCCCGTCATTTTCTGCATGCTGTAGGCGCAGTTTGGCGTTTGATTTGTGCCGCAATTGCAGCCGCTTAAGAGGACATTTGGAGCACCAAAGCTTATTTTAACGCCAGATATTTTGAATTGTATTTTTCCTCTTAATAGTTGTGTTTTATTTTGTTCACTTGGATCAATTTAAATGTTTTAGTTCGATCTTTAGTCGGTTTAATTGTTTTTCAGGTTAAAAAAAACCCCAGTAGTTATCGATAGGCTAATATGGAAAACGTAGAATGTGATTCACCTAGTGCGACTAAGTGCATCATGTTTAAAAAGACGTTGATTTAATCTTTAAATTGACCAGTTTATCTGTACGACAAATCCAACCCTGTTTGATGCTCTACACAAACACAAGATTTGGTATTATTTCTTTTTCTTTTTCTCCTTTGGGAGGATCTTTGCAACAGGAAGTCCGCCACCATCCCTGCACAATAGGCGGAAAGACTTGCTGCCCGCCTTGCACACTTTTTGTTTGAGCAGCAGAGGGTTGGAGGTGGTTCAACCCTCAGCGCACCTGTCTATCCACACTTCCCCCACTCCCCCCCCCCCCCCCCCCACACACACACACACATGCACACGTAACACATGCCTACACACACACTTCCAGTCAATCAACCTGCACGAAATCCTGCCTCAGCTGTCGTCCTGCCGTCTGAAGCTTTTGAATGAAAAGTGCACTGTGCAGAATCAACAGGGTTTTTGTTCATCTCTCGCCAATGTTTAGGCACAAGCGAGGGGGGGAGGGTGGATACGGGGGCTACTGCAATGGTTTGTGCGTATTATACCCGAATGGGCTGCACGGCGGAAATATTCCACCTCTTGAGTGGTTAGCATGTTTGCCTCACAGTTTTGAGGTTTTCCGTTTTAATCTCGATTCCAGACTTCCTGTTTCCTCATCCATATATTTAAAAAAAAAAAAGCATGTTAGGCTAATTGCAAATACTAAATTGTCCATAGATGGGAATGTTTAAAGTCTCCAAAAAGGCGATTCATTTTAGGTGATAACTCCATGCATGTTTTTGGAATGTGGGAGGAAACCAGAGTACCCGGAGAAAACCCACACACTGCACACTGCACTGTGAGGCTGACAACCTAACCAGTCGACCAAGGTGCTTTTTTGAAAGAGACTAAATAAACGAAGCTAAATTCTCTCCAAGCCTTGACATAGTTTGATAATTCTGCAGATTAAAAAGAAAAAAAAAATGTTTCACCCGTGTTGACTCCTTTTTATTTTATTTGCAGTGCTACCCCCCGTGTTGGTACCGCGCAACAGCGAGTTCAACGCCAAGCACACGATGCTACCTCGCTTCCGCAACCCGCTGCAGCAGAACGAGCCGCACATGCCCCAGAACGCCACCTTCCCCGAGTCCTTCGCCAATCCCGTGCCCTTCCCGCATTCGCCTGGAAACAGCTTCCCGAGCTCACCGGGCGGGGGCAGCAACGCCACCTTCCCGCATTCACCATCCAGTTCAGACCCTGGCAGCCCGTTCCAGATGCCGGGTGAGTCCTTTGCGGCCACTTTGCCGCCTCTTCTTCCACATGACATCTAACTGTTTTTTTTTGTAATGCAGAGACGCCGCCGCCTGCCTACATGCCCCCAGAGGAGCAGATGACTCAAGACTGCCCCCTGCCGATGGACACCAATCTCATGGTGCCACCTTTGCCTATCGAGACGAACAACCGAGCAGGTGATCAAGAATCATCAACGTTCACGGCATATTTAATAAGCTCTTTAGGTGTTCTGGTGTCATGGTAGGATAGGTAGCAGGCCACATTTATGACAAGATTGGTATAATTCTTAAAATCCTTCTCCCATCACCCCTCACCTCCAAAGCTCAGCCCATGAAGTTCTTATCCTTGTAGATTCACAGTCATTGCAGATTGGACAATATTCCTCGTTCAGCTCAGTTGAGAAGAAGAGGATACAAGAAGACCCCGTAGCTTTTCAATAAGGATGTTTGAAAGCTCCTCAAGTCAAGCATCAAGCAAGATCTTTGAGATGAGCCCGGCCATGATAGAATTTCTTGTTTTGTGAGTGTGCACGCGGCTCCGGTCGCGACCTCTGAATGTGTCCTCCGCGGCAGATGTGCAGCCCGTGGCCTACGAGGAGCCCAAGCACTGGTGCTCCATTGTTTATTACGAGCTCAACAACCGCGTCGGCGAGGCATTCCAGGCCTCGTCCACCAGCGTGCTTGTCGACGGCTTCACGGATCCCTCCAACAACCGCAACCGCTTTTGCCTCGGCCTGCTATCCAACGTCAACCGCAACTCCACCATCGAGAACACCCGACGGCACATCGGCAAAGGTGCGGCCGCGCAAAAGCCAGTCAAATTGCCGTCAACTGAAGTGCTGACAGTGTGAGCAAATTGATTTTCGGTGTATATCGACCGGTCTTATTCCTGCGCACCGCTCAGGCGTCCACTTGTATTACGTCGGTGGCGAGGTTTACGCAGAGTGCCTGAGCGACAGCAGCATCTTCGTCCAGAGTCGCAACTGCAACTACCACCACGGCTTCCATCCCACCACCGTGTGCAAGATTCCCAGCGGCTGTAGCCTGAAGATCTTTAACAACCAGGAGTTCGCCGAGCTGCTCGCCCAGTCCGTCAACCACGGCTTCGAGGCCGTCTACGAGCTCACCAAGATGTGCACCATCCGCATGAGCTTTGTCAAGGTCGGTACTTAGGGCGGAACCGTTTGGGAAATACAATCTCATTGAGATTTCTGTTTTATTTTCCCCACAAGTTTTTGAATCAATCAATTTATCTACTTCAGTTACAATTGTGGACGTTCTAGTATGAAGTATTCACTACGGCAGCTTCCCAAAATTGTACCAAATAACAGAGGCGTGAACATAAGCCCGTGCGCTGTTATATCACTTTATAATATTAATGCAAACAAATGTGTGGCTTTAGCACATCAACAATGAAAATAGGGCTGAGCGATGATGAAAAATAATCAAATTGCGATTTTTCTAAAAAAATTGCGATTTGATTTGCATTTTATTTTCAAGACCCTTTTCCTCATGTTTTTCAACAATTGTAATGTTCATTTCAACACATGAGGTGAAGGCAAATGAAACATTAATGAATGTGAAAGACAGTTTACTGTATCTTCGACAATTACTTAATATTTTGGGAAGCATTCACAACATAATTCTGCCACACCGTGTGGTGTCATCTTAAATGTATATTGTCAACTGTTGATTACAACAAAAAATGTAAACAAATCAGCTCTGCTGCCTCCTACATACCACTTTGTTTCACGAAACATGACACAGTACGTAATTGTATAGACAAACATCCATTTGTGTACGTCATCCATTTTGGACTGAATTAAGCCAATAAAAAGACATTGGTGATGTTTCAGGGCTGGGGAGCCGAGTACCACCGCCAGGATGTGACCAGCACCCCCTGCTGGATCGAGATCCACCTCCACGGCCCCCTCCAGTGGTTGGACAAGGTCCTAACGCAGATGGGTTCTCCCCACAACCCCATATCGTCCGTGTCCTAGACCTCCCTCAGGGTCAGCCCAATGTTTTTTGTTTTTTTTTTTGTTTTTTGGGGGGGGGGGGCCCAAGTAGCAAGACGAACAGATCCCAGATCGGTTGACTCTTATTGCCTCGTTAGATAAATTGTCTGATTGAAGCACAAGCGGCTGATCTGGGATCTGTCAATTCCATGGGTTTTCTACTTGAAGGACATGTGAAGTGGGCACATACACAGACTGGGAGAGGAGTGAGCAAAGAGAGCATGATGCATCTGGAAGAAACTTGATCTTTGTGACCAACACTAATAATCCAACCGTCACACTCTTGGGGAGCGCAGGCGTCCCCAAACTGGTCTCCTTTTTAATTTTGTTTTCTTCCTGTCGCTTTGCATTCCCGCATCCACATACTCCCTCCGACATCCACGTTTTAAAACCGGTTACCACCAAGCCGCCGCGGTCATCTCAGCGTTGTCGTTTGCCGTTGTCAAGTTGTGACAGTGAGACAAGACGCTTTGACTTCTTTGCCAGAAGACGAAAGGCTGGATTCCCGCCACAGCTGTCTTTTTTCGTGGCCTTCGTTGTTCCTCTTGAAGGCGAGTTGCACATGGCTCCACACAAAGTATGTTGTACCGTATTATTTTTATGAAACCACAAGATGGCTTGACGGCCATGGATGAAGATGGTCGCTAAATAGAAAGGAAGTGGGCGAGAACAAAGTCCAGAGTGGAAATCTGCTTCGCCCCCATTCGCTGGCTGTAGCGGCCGCGCTACTAACATCGGGTGCCCTTTGGCAGAGACTGCACGCGTGGCTGTTTCATCCACAGGTACATATGTGAATGATAAATATTGTTATGTATTGTTGTAAAACAGAGTCACCGTTGTAGCATTGTGTCAGTAGTGCGCGTTTCAAACTGGGGGGGACTCCGAATTCTGACGCTCAAGACAGCGCTAAATACAAAGCAACATGCTTTCTTTTACGGTATCGGTATCAAGAAAAGCTTCATTTACACAGAGGTTCCCCGTAAAAACCCTGGCATTCACCCTCCTTTGCCTTTCATAGCGAACCCAGCCAAGCAGGATATGGCTGCCTCGCACCAACTGGACAGTAACAACGGTCTAATGTGATGTACAACATCTGCACAGCGACAATTGCTTTCAACACAAAAGGCCAACTCAGGTTTTACCATTCCAAGCTGTCTGAACCAAACTGTCCCACTTGGTGGAACCGTGCTTCCATAAATGCGTTGTAACTATAAATTCTGGGGCGACATTCCAGGTCTCTGGAATTGCAGTCGGTCGGACCTTACACTGCAAAGACATTGGCGTCGAATTTCCTCCTGGCATGGAAGGAGACTCCAAGGGTGATCTGTATGAAATTTCAATCACTCAAGAGGATATTTGGGAAATTTAGGGGTGGAGTGGAGGTAGTGGGCGTGTGGGGGAGGTGTGGCAGGTGGTTTATTTCACGAAAAAAAATGCAGTTCTGCCAATAATTTAAATGTTGCTCATCATGTTTTACACTAATGTTTTACCCCATGGACTTAGGTTCAAATAGTGTTTTTTTTTTTGTTCACGTTTAGACTATGGTGCTGTGTTGTCTGTTTTTGGCCATGCGTAGTTTGGTTTCTGGAAGCATAAGTACAAAAGTAAAGACGCATCATGGACTGATGTTTTCAATGACTGTTACATGAAAATATTCCATTTTAATTCAATACACAAAAGTGTCCACCCATATCATTTAAAAAAAATAAAATACTCTGTTCTTACTTTGTTTGACAATGTTGTACTCCTGACATTCTTTTTTTATTTTGTATTTTTGTCTGCACTATTCACATGTTGACTCTTTCCTTTTTTTTTTTTTGGTATGGTCAAACTCCTCATAAAGCCGTTTTATTCCATGAATATTAAAAGACTAGTGGGGAATGAAAAAATCATTTCTTTCAGTACTTTGTATTTTTGTCTTTATGTATACTGTATTTGTATGTATATAATATACATGTTTTAATTACAGGGCGAAAGACACAAGCTATGTATGAAGTATGCATTATGGAGTGTTTGCACATTTTTAACTCAAAACAATCGATTTTTCTCTGCACTTTTTGGAACCAAATTCAACCACAGAACATCACCTTGCCGCCATCTGCAAAGTCTGGTTGGGTCTTAAGCATTATTTTGTAAACCTGGACTTTGGATTTCTATAAGTTCATAGTCATGCAAGTATGTTGTCTGTTTCTGTGATTAGCAAGCTTTAGAATGACATCAGCCTTTCGAAAATGGGACAAAGATTATGTTTGAAACTCGGAGTGAACAAAAAAGGTCACATCTATTATGTAGACGCCGTTTGTCTTTGCATTAAGACATTGGCCAGAAATCGTTGCATTGTATGTACTTTTTGAGAGTTAGAATTTCTTAATATCTAAAATTACACTTAATATCATTGAAATTGTCTCGAAATGATCTAATGCAATCAATCTTTGAAATTTAACTCACCGTGTAGTACAGAACATTTAAATACAGTACTACGTTAAAAAAGTGGTCATCTGCTGCCATCTGTTGGGAGACAACGTTACCGTTTAGCAATTTTGCAGACTGTCCTAGGAGATGTGTGCGTGTGTGTGTGTGTGTGTGTGTGTGTGTGTGTGTGTGTGTGTGTGTTTTTTTTTATATACACACACACACACACACACACACACACACACGCACACGCGCGCACACGAAATGCCGATTTGAGTTTCAGTGCATTTCATGTTTATGCATGGCGTGACAACCAAAAAGATTTGTTTGACATTGATGAAGGTTTGAATGTCATGAAAAACGATTTAAAAATCATCAAGAATGCTGATAATTGCTTTTCATGAGAGCATTGCCCCCACTAAGATGGCGGCCATGTAGGCACGTCACTCCACAAGGACCCGAACAACATTCTTGAGCGACAACGCAATATACTTTAACTCATTTTAAAATGTAAGATCCGCATTATGTTTGATTTAGTATATGTATGTTTGTCATTTTGAAAAGACCAAAAAAAAAGTTTGTCGAAGTCACCGGAAGTAGAAAGTGTCAGTGCCGGAAGCAGGAACTACGTGAGCATAATGCTTCTATGGATCGCGGCTTGAGGTCAGTGTTTATATTTAGTTTTATTCTTACTTAACATCTATATGTTGCGTACTTTAGAATTTAACATTTTACTCTTGGATAAACTAAGCGGTACGAGCTTATGTTATATTGTTGTTACCTTACATGTGTCGATTTTTAAGCTGAAACAATGCCACAGTTTGCGACGCTTTCGCTAATCAATGTATTGACGTCATAAAGTGCCCGGATTTTCACTTCTTTCAGAGGTTGTATGTTCAGTTTTTCTTTAAACTCACTGACGACTTTCCTCTGTTTTAGATAAAATGAGACTTCTACATTCCCCGCTCTTCCGTCACATTATCGCCACCAACACTTGCCTTTGTCACTCCAAGACTCCGCCCAATCACATATGCAAACAATGGCGGGCTGTGAGCACAGCCTTGAACCAGCACATCCAAGACCTGAGCGGCTCCGAGCAGACGCTGCTGAATAAACTCTACGCGGGCCTCATTGGGGGTCACCGGGCTTCTCTGGCAGAGTCCATCACGCTGGTGGAGACGCAGCATCTGCGGAAGAAGGAGCTGGCCCAGGTGTTGCTACAGAGGGTCCTGGCCTTCAGGAGGGAGCAGGAGAGCCACAATGGTGGGAAACCGGTGGCCTTCAGAGTAGGTGTGTGTACTGTGCTAATATAAAGGAGGTATAGTATCTCAAAATATATGATATAAAAAAATCTGGATATAAAAGGAGACATTTGTGTTTTTATTCACAATTTTTAAAGGTCTCTCAGGTCCTCCGGGAGCTGGGAAGTCGTCATTCATTGAAGTGGTGGGCAAGATCCTGACGGGACGTGGACATAAAGTGTCAGTGCTGGCAGTTGACCCGTCTTCCTGCACGACGGGAGGTAACGTCTCCGCATCATGTGGTCCACACATTACATTTTGATAAGGTATGATTAAGGATGTTTCATGGCACTTTTTTTCAGACCAGGATGAGTTCTCAACTCTTAAGTACCTAATACCACTGAGTACTTTTAATACACACAATTTCTAATAATGACAGATCATTTTAAAGAAAGACCGCTCGTTTGGTTCCTTTGGAACAGTCACTCTGCAATAGAGAATTGAAGTCCAAAATAAAACACAAACAACTGACGCTGAATACAGTATAGGCTTCAGTTGTAAGTGCAAAATAAAATGTGACAGTTTCATGAATTTTAGTCCCTGTTCAAAATGCATTTAAGTGCTAATTTTATCCTTTTTTTTCTTTGTTTTTCTTCTTTTTTTTCCTGTTTTCTGAGTTTGGTTATGTGATGTTCACAAGCTGAGCCCTGACTGGTTTTTACCTGAGCAACTGTGATGTTATTTTCAGTTTACAGCAAGTGACAAAATGCCCCCCCCCCCCCGAGGTGGCGAAAAATGAATGGATTTTTCTGCTCAATTTATATTCCACAAACACGTTATTAATCAGAATACTGTGTTTACACTAGACTAGGCTACATAGAACATATTGTTGTTTAAAAAAAAAAAAACAAAAAAAAGTGCCCTGACTTCCCCTATAAGTGAAATTGGATAATTTCCTGCGACACACCAATGTGCCTTGCCACACCGGTTGGGAATCACGGCTCAAACGATGAATCAATTGTCATAATCCAATCCAACTAAATTGATAATCGATTAGTTCTTGATTAATCGTTGCAGCTCTAATCCAAACAAAACATGATTTATGGCCAGTCAAGGAGTGATTCTTGGGTTATTCTTTGGGTCACCTGCTGCGGTCGTTATACTCACTTCCTGTTTGCAGGTTCCTTGATGGGTGACAAGACCCGCATGACTGAGCTTTCCCGTGACATGAATGCCTTCATCCGCCCGTCGCCCACGTCGGGGACGCTCGGCGGTGTCACCAGGACGACCAACGAAGCCATCGTCCTCTGCGAGGGAGCGGGTTACGACGTCATCCTCGTGGAGACTGTGGGTACGACGTGCAGTATATGGCTGTTCGACAAACGGTCAACACAACCGGCCGCTTCTCTGTTTTATGTCCGGTCACGGTGCCAGCATTGGAGTGGCTTTCTCGTAATTGGCGGGTGTTCAATTTCATCGAGTTTGTGGCTGTACGTGTTGGCAGGAACCTCACTCTTAACATAGCCCATAACGGGCCGATTATGGGCATATTTGTAGCTAGCTGTTAATTCCGTTCAAATTGTACATCATCAAATGCGTTTCACTTGTCGCCAGGTGTCGGCCAGTCAGAGTTTGCAGTGGCGGACATGGTTGACATGTTTGTGTTGCTAATTCCACCAGCAGGTGGCGACGAACTGCAGGTATCCTCCTAATGTTGTCCCTTGCGTGCTGGTTCGATTTTACTGATCTAAATGATGGCTCAATCTGAAGGGCATCAAGAGGGGCATCATCGAGAGGGCTGACCTGGTGGTGGTGACCAAGTCGGACGGAGACCTGGTGGTGCCAGCCAGGAGGATCCAGGCGGAATACACCAGCGCTATGAAGCTGCTTCGGAGGCAGTCCAGGTCTTGGAACCCCAAGGTGAGTGTTACATGTGTTTGTATTTGGAGCGCCTCCCCTAAACATTTTTGATAAGGGTAAATGGCGCGCCTCCCGTCTATTCCATAATCAAATACAGTGAATTTCAGCCTCTGGCTAGTGGCTAGTAGCCAGTTTTTTTTTTGTCCGAAACCGGTATTTTTAGTGAAACTAACCAATGTTCTACTTTTGATTACAAAAGAATGGAAAAAGCTACAAACAAACAAGTGTGTCCACTCTTTGGCACAGAACACAATATTCTATGCGTCTTGAACAATGACTCAAAATGCTCTAAAATAGTTGCGGGGATGTGGAACTCTGCTTTTAAAACCACTGGCAACTTTCACGTCTTAAAATGTCAGCAAATGGGTTCCTGTTTTAACAAAAGAGAAGCGCCTTTACCTTTTTCATTTTATTTCCTTACTATCAAAAAGCGAACTGAACCATGATCTTAAAACCAAGGTGATCAACCAATAGTGACTTTTTTTTTTTTTGGGCAGGGGGTACCGTTACACATCTCATGACAGGTTGAATGAAATTTCTGGATATGTTTGAGCCAGGGTTATAGTCGGACTTTTATTAAAGTCCGACTAATTATCTGTACCTCAAGGTAGAATCTAAACAAACGTGTCAACGGGGCTAATGACCGGACTCCAAGGAAAGTGTTTTGATTTTGACAAGACCCCAAAAGTGAGGACAGTATATGTAAAAGTCAAGCGCAATCACCTCAAGGTTACAAAAGTGGACGTGAGTGTAGCAAGGCAGCAGGTGGAACACGCCAGACATCCGCCATCATTTTTGGAATCCGCTTTGATTTCACGCGGGCATCTCCCGACTGCGACTCCCTTTATCTTCAGGTGGTCCGCGCTTCCTCGCACAGCGTCGAGGGCATCTCGGAGGTCTGGGATGAGATGCGCTCGTACCAGCAGGTCATGTTGGCCAGCGGCGAGCTGCAGGGCCGCCGCCGGGCCCAGCAAAAGGTGTGGATGTGGACCTTGATCCAGGAAAACGTCCTGGCCCACTTCCGCCATCACCCCGCGGTCCGGGAAGCCCTGCCCCAACTGGAGGAGAGGGTCACCCGGGGGGACATCTCCCCCGGCCTCGCATCCGACCTGCTCCTCAAATCCTTTCTCTCGTCATCCTCGTAGTCAGTGGAGGGATGGAGGTACGTCATCCAGTAGGGGGCAGCTTCTACAATGAAACTTTTCCTTACTTGACAGCCAATCCAAATCGAGGACATTCATACTTGGAGACTGAAACTCGGACATTTATAAACAATTTCAATGGAAAAACCTCTCAATGACTCTTGACAATGACCTGCCAAAAAACCCAAACGACACATAGCTTATGAATACCTTGAAAATGCAAAATAATTGCCAGAATTTTTTTTTTTTTTTTTTAAAGCGACGTCGGATTGTAACCTGGCAGCTGCTTGGACATACAGTGGTACCTCTACTTCCGAACGTCTCTTCATACGAAATTTTCAAGCTACGAAATGCCTCAACAGGAAAATATTGCCTCTTGTTACGAAAGAAATTTCAAGATACGAAAGGCAATAGTACAGTATGGGCTGCTACTCGCAGCTCTGAGTTTCCTGAACGCAACATACTGAGCTGCTCTGCCATTGGCTATTACCGAGCATCATCCTGGCATCCCATTGGCTAAGAGGGACTTCTACCGATTGTGTCTATGTGTGTAGATAGATAAATAGATAGATGTGTATCGATGCGGCGTCCTCGTCATTCGCCCCATGGGCCGTGAGTCGTTCCGATAGTTTTACGTAAATGTGAATCACCCAGAAAAAGTGTTCACCAGTCGGGCGGTCGCTCACTATGCTGATGTTTGCCTTGGACATTTTCGAAGGATTGTTAAAAGCCGACAAAAGCAAACGTCCTTAGATTACTTCTTTACAAAACGCCAGGCAAAAACCACTTCTGAGGGCAAAAAACAATGAGGACGCAGTTCAATGTTAAATGACCATCATTTTTATTCTTAGTATTTTACATTATGCACAATTCTCATTTATTGTGCAATAATCTAATTGTGACCTGTATGTGTTACATATTTTGATGCATTTTTATGCTTTAGGAAACATGTCTGAATTTATTTTTTTGGGGGGGGCGCTTGGAACGGATTAGGGCATTTACATGGAAAACACGTCTCTACTTAAAAAAAATTCTAGTTAAGAAATTTCTTCCAGAACCAACTACTTTTGCAAGTAGAGGTACTACTATCGTTTATCTAGCATAGCGTTTTGGCACTAGAGGTCACCCTAGTTCCACTCATGCCTCGATGGCTCCAATATCCCAAATACTCGAGCTTCCTAGACAGCCAGCTTCCATCAATCTTTCTATTTGGGTCAATCAGAGGTAAAAACATATAACCACTCGCTCCTCCGCTCTGTCTTTTCCTTTCCTAAAAGAGCAAATTCAAAACCCACCCTTCCGCCGTCTTGAACGGGTTCCCGTGGGTTTGACGACTGGAGCGCTTGTTGCCCAGGATGCCCGGTGAATGCGGACGGATTCATTAGAGCGGGGCGAGCAATCTCTGCCTCAAGCGTGGCACAAAGGCACACTTTTGCCGCTGCTGCTGCTGTGGACTCGCATGGATAACATGCACACTGTGGAAACTGCGCGCGCCACGCCAACGTGAAAAGGACATTCTTAGCGGAGTGGAGGATCGATGCCAACGTGGCGCACAAGCGCAACATTTCACAATATTTTTTAGTAGGATCCTAATGAATGAACTCGTTCGGCACCCAATTTAATGCGAGTATTCCAGGCAAGGCAAAGTAGCTTTATTTATAGCGCACAGCTCGCAGAGAGGTGCAGGGTTCGAATCAGGCTCAGGCCTTCCTGTGTGGAGCTTGCATGTTCTCCCCGTGCCCGCGTGGGTTTTCTCCGGGGGGACTCCGGTTTCCTCCCGCATTCCAAAAACCTGCACGATAGCTTAATGAAACTCTCTAAATTGTCCCCAAGGTGTCATTGTGACTATGAATGGTTGTTCACTGCCTATTGGTAGCTTGATGTGGTTTATATGAATAAAAGTACAACATTTAAAACCAAGAACCTAGGACATAAAAAAGGTACAGTGATACAGTAAAAGACGGCTTCCTAAAATTACTAAAAGAACAGCCAGTGGAAGAAAATTGATTTTAAAATGCTTTAATAGTCCTCAGTCATAAGCATGGAGGCAGGGGGGAGGGGGCAGTTTTTAACCTGGACCTAAAAACAAATACAGTGGGGCTGACTTGACTTCTGCGTGCAGCATAACACCTCTATGCTGCTTCACCATGTTGCTTTGAACTCTCGGCTCCACTCACTGACCCGAGTCTGCAGACCCGAGAGATTTCATTCTCTCTTCGCTCATTTATGGAGGACCGAAACCATTCGGTGATTTACAGACCAGTAGCAGAACTTCAAAGTCTATTCGAGAGCTGCCTGGGAGCCAGTGTCAAGTCTTTTGAACCGGAGTAATATAGTCTGATCTCTTTGTACTGGCCGTAACCCGAGCTTGCAGCATTCGGAATGAGCTGCAAGTTTTTGAGTTTTCATCAAAGAGTGTGGCTGAAGCTCTATTTGATTTTATTTTTTCTTCTGGAATTTGACATTCTGGCCATAAGTCTTTCCCCTGCGCAGCTTTTCAAATGTACACACTCGCGGCAACGCGTGCGCTCTTTCTACTGAGATGGCGCCGCTGCGGGGGGAGGCGGCGGCGTGCACCTCGGCTCCATTACCCGCCCCGTGCCCACCGCTGTTTGCTGTGTGTAATTTAGCGGGGCCGACCCTTCGGCGAGAAGGCACGTAGCGAGCCTCGGCGCTGGTAATTGGACTTGAGAACTGATTGGGGAGCTTGACTGACCCCCCAGTATTGGATTGGAGTGTATAATTATTTGTAGTTATGGTTACGAGATGATATCGAGGTGGGCGGCGGTGACTCAGCCCTGCCGCCGATGCTGCCGGCGCTCAATTAATGAAATCCAGCTGCTCGGGTGCCACGCGGCATACAGAAGTCTGCTCAGGGTGCGGAGGGGGCAAGGGTTATTGCCATCCGAATGCTTCCCCTTTTTGCGCCACAGTCAGTCAGGATGATTTCTTACCGGTCCTGATACCAGACATTAAGCTCGATGATGTTCCTTTTTAACGCCCTTGTGGCATCTCTCGCTGCACCCTCACGGCTGTCACGTTAATGACAGCGCTCATCACGGCGGCGAGGGGGGTGGCGCCTCCTCAGGACACGAAAGGCAATTGCGTCTTAATCCGCAGTTTTAATTGGCGGCCGAAAGCCCCCCCGTTGCTCCGATAACTCGGCTTGCAAAACAAACGGAGTCAGTTGGTGAGCCTTATACTTGATTCGACTTTTCTCAGTCCTCGAAGCCAGTTTCTCTTGGCAACTTGAAATTTTGTCGACATATTTATTTTGAGCAGATAAGCCAAAAAAAAAAAAAAAGTCTGAAGCAAAAAGACTGCCATGTTGGTTTGAAGCGAGCAATTAATTTTTTTCGTCGAGGGATTTTTGTCAGGAGTCTCAATCACAATTGCTTTGGGCTGAGGGGGTGCGCTCTGAACTGCTCGCTAGCCGATCACAGGACACATTGACGAACATTCAAACCCGCAGACAGGTTTGACTCTTCAATTAACTGGAGAAACGTGTTTTGCAATGCGGGAGGAAGTCAAAGTACCTGAAGAAGTCTGGGTAGAACATGTGAACACCCACACAGAAAGCCCTGAGCACAGTTTCAAACTCACAACCTAAAAACTGTGACATGTTCCTGGCAAAAAAAAAAATCATGTTAAGTATTTTATTTTTTTTCTCTAACAATTTTGCTCCTGAAGCCAATTTCACTAAGCAACATGAAATTTGAGAGACATGTCTTATCAGTCGACCCACAAAAAAATTCTCTGAAACCCATGCCTGATAAGTTGAAGGATCATTTCGGCCATTTCTAGAACTTCTTCAACTACGTTCCCAGAGACTACCAAAGTATACGCTGTATTGCAAAGCATATATCACAACATTTTGCTCATTGTTTTGGATGGAACACGGTGACAAAATTTGATGACTTGCCATATTCAGCAACTCACCAAGTGTTGCAGGTGTGTTCCTCATGAAAATGAATGCTTGACCGGATTTTTGAAACATTTGCCCCCCGCAGAGCCAGTTTCACTGAGCCAAACGAAATTTGGTCGGCATGTTGATCATGAGTAGATCTACAAAAAAATAAAAATAAATAAATCCATGCCCAAAAAAGACACAGCAGGGCTTGTGTGTTGTTGTTTTTTTGTCACCTCTTGCAGACAGAGCAGCCCCGTGAAACGATGACTGGCCATAAAACGGGAAATTCTAATAAGCACGCCAGACAAGGTCGGCGCTTGACCAAACGTCTGGCGGCTTTGATTTTGCTGTTCTGTTCCTAACCTTCCTCTAACCCCTCGTATCCCTTGCACGCCCGTCGTCTTTATCCTCCTGTCATGTGTCCCTTGGAGGCCCCCACCCGCTCCCCCTCATCCTCCGCCTTCCCCACCTCCTCAGCTGCTGTTTGTGACCTCTCGTTGCCCTCTTGCCAGTCTCTATTATTTCTGGCTGCCCAGTGGCCCGGTCGCACTGGTGCCTGTTATGACAGGTAACACTGGGCCATACACTCCTCGGCTAATGTGTGGCTCTTCCTATCTCTCCCGCCCCC